TGTGTGTGTGTGTATATATATATATATATATGTATGTATGTATGTAAAAGGATGTTTCATTCCTCTCTTGGAAGAAATTGTCCCAAACTTCTCTCAGCTTTAGCAGTGTAGAGGACATGATGAATGGCTTTTACATTCCTGTATGAATGACACCTGCTGGGAACATAAGGCATACTGTGAATGAGTATCAAGGATCAAGAACCAGCCTGTGGTCCAAGCTGCAGACTGACAGGATGGCAGGTAACTGAAATTGCCTAGTGTTTCCCAGTCCTGTGTTTCATTCCCCACAGGTCACCGGGACTTTGGTTTTCGCTGTCGTCACAGCTGCACTGGGTTCCTTCCAGTTTGGATATGATATTGGCGTGATCAACGCACCTCAAGAGGCAAGTGAAACACGTACAATTCAATTCTCTTTTTGGCGATTTCTGTCAGTGACTGAAAGATCTGTGTTCCTCATACACAGAGATAAAGTGTGCCCACGTGGAGAACACAGGGTAATCCCAGCATTCTGTCAGGCACCATGTGCGTGGTTTCAGAGCTGATAACTTGGCCTTGACTCCTCTATCACCCTCACAAAGAAAGAAAGGGCAATAAACAACTCCTGATCTCTGACTCTGCTGTTTGCTGAGCTCACAGAAAACTCTAGCCAGAATACCACATGCCTATTGATGTTGTTTTTAAAAACTGAAGAGCTTATTGCAGCCTTGATTCAGAGCCCCCCGCCATATGTGAGTGGAAAAATGAATGAAAAATGCCAGGGAATAAGAGGAAGCAATAGAAGGATTTTAGTGCACTAACTTTTACTGAGCACCAACTCACTGTGCATCGGGCACTTTAACATATGTTCTCCCTAGTTTGACCTCTAAAAACCTTATTATACCCAATTCTAGGTCAGTTGAAAACCTTTAGGAACCTTAACACTAAAAACATCCTAGTCCTTCCTCCTACTTCTGTCTCCCATAGCTAATTCAAAGAAAAATAATATGAAACTATTTAATAATAGTCAAGAAGTCCAATAAAAATTTGGATTTTCTCCATAATAACTATTTGGATGGGTATTTTTTTTAATATTGAATAATTTCTATAACTTTTCTCATTTATTTTGTGCATCCCTACTCTGGTATCCAATGAATAAATAGGAGAGGGCTGTCATTTTTCTCAGCTCCCACGGCTTGTAAGTGGGGAAACCAGGAATTCACCCCCCGTGCTCTAATGAAGGCTGTCGGGTCATTTAGGTCAGGATTGATGTCTCATTCCTCTTCCTGTCATTGGCATAACGGGGTTCAATAAAGTGTTCCATGAGTAAAGAAAGAGAGGAGAGAAGGTGGGGGGAAGGAGTGGCAGAAGGTGAAAGTGCAAGCATTTGTTGGGTGCCTTCTATGAATAAATCATATTTCATCTGCTTCTCTTACAATGTTGGGCTCCATGGAAAATATGTGCTGGCCACAGATATGGTCAACAATAAATAAATCTACCTGTGATCGTATGTATAGAATATACAACCCTGGAAGGGCTGCTCCTTGGACCAGAAGATGTGCTTTGGTCAGGTGCCGCATAATATTCTCATGGGTGTGATGGTCTTGCCAAGGGTGAGAGATTTAGATGATAATGCTGAGGGTCATGGCTTTTTTTCTGAGTGATGACCACTCATGCCAATTTACCAGTCTTCTTGAAATTTGGATCAACATCACCGTAATTCAGAATCAGCAAGCCTCTTTTTTGTGGAAGATCTTTTCACATTCTATTTAAACCATCCTCTCCAGGGAAGGAGAGGGGAAATTAGTCTAAGGTTTCCCCTCCTTCAATCCAAGTCCTAGAGCCAGACTTGAAAACAGGATCCCCGACTGGCATCCGGCTTAGTGCCTTATCTAGAGCCCCTCTTTTCTGTGTTTAACAAGCCACTTAAACACCATTATAGAACAATAATCATTCAGCTTCATTTGTTTTTGTTAGTGGGATGACATTTGGCATTATTTTAGGGTATTTTAGAGTCACACTTTTTTATGATTATAAAAAATTATACAGGGGCACCTGGGTAGCTCAGTTGGTTAAGCGTTTGACTTGATTTCAACCCAGGTCATGATCTCATGGTTCATGAGATCGATACCTGAGTAGGGCTCTGCACTGACAGCACAGAGCCTGCTTGGGATTCTCTCTCCTCTCTCTCTGCCTCTCCCCCCACTTGCCCACACGTGCACATGCACACACTCTCCTTTTCTCTCTCTCAAAAGAAATTAAAAAAGAAAAACAAAAAGCTAGACATACCTGTTACAGAAAGTGTTAGAAACAATCATCTATAATTATTCTACCACATAGAGCAAACAGCTGAGAACATTTTGGATGTTTCCTTCTAGCCTTTTTTCTATGTATATTATCCCTATAGAGTGGTCTGCTAATGAGGTAATGTCATGGTCAGACTTCTTTTATCATAAGAGGACGTCACTTCCCTCCCTCACTCAGTTGACTTTACCACATAGGGCTTTACCCTATGACTGTCAACCTAGTCAGTTGTATTCCAGGTCCTTGTCAGAGGTCCTCCCAGACCACTCAATAGTGACCAAATCATCACTGAGAGGAAGGACAAAGAAGGAAGCCTGAAGGCTGTGCCTTTACTAAATTATATTTTAGTAGGATCTTTGCCTCTTCAGAAACACATGATAAAATAATGGTGCTGTGAAATTTAGTTCTGAGAATTGTTCATTGTATTACACACCGAATTCTGTGGGGACCCAGAGGAAAAAAATTCCTTCAGGTCCCAACACCTTCTGAGGGGCCACTGAGTTGTTTTTATCTTTGAAACTCATCAGGATACAGGATTGTTTTCTTCTCTTTGAGCTGGCTGCCAGGAAGTTTATTGCTAAATTTATAGCATACTTCTAGCAAAGATACAGCACCTAGTCTTTTTAGCCTGCAGAATATTTTCCATTTGAATAGGTGCTTGCATTTAAAACTTAAAGAATTTTATATAAAAATACAGATTTCTGGTTTCTTTCCATTTATTTATTTATTTATTTATTTTGAGAGAGAAAGAAAGAGAGAAAGCAGGGGAGGGGCAGAGAGAGAGAATCCCAAGCAGAGAGAATCCCACACTGCCAGTGCAGAGCCCGATTCAGAGCTTGAACTCACGAACCAAGAGTTCATGACCTGAGCCGAAACCACGAATTGGATGATTAACTGACTGAGCCACCCAGGCACCACAAGATTTCTGGCTTCTTTTTAAGAATTAAAGGTCATGAAACACTAGTCTCACATTTGCAGCTTCCTCCTTTAGGTGAGGCAAATGCTTTCCAGTGCTATAACCTTGCCCACTTACTATTATAGTCTCAATAGTAGAGACTGTATTTCAGTTCTCCTAGCTATCAAGGTTCTCCTTCACTTATTTGTTGCTGCCTAGTTCCTGTAGGCACTGGAATTTGCGACCTCTGTTTTACAGGATATGGTCAACTGTAAATAAATCTATCTGTGACTGCATGTATATAACACACATAACTGGGATGACACTTTTAAATACCTAACCAACATTCTAAAGGAAAAACAAACAAAAAATGTATAGAGTATTTGAGATGTTGGAGCTATTTTTCTTTATTTTATTTCCCCAGGTAATAATATCCCATTATGAATATGTTTTGGGTATTCCACTGGAAGACCGAAAAGCTATCAACAACTATACTATCAACAGTACAAATGACCTGCCCACAATCCCATACCTAAGGGATTCAACACCAACCTCTTTGGCGGAGGAAGAGACTACAACATCTACTAGCCTCATCACCATGCTCTGGTCCTTGTCTGTGTCTAGCTTTGCAGTTGGTGGAATGATTGCATCCTTCTTTGGTGGGTGGCTTGGAGACCAGCTTGGAAGGTAGGCAAGTTTCATAAATAAGCATAAACATGGAAACTAGTATTTGGAGTTTGTTAAGACTTTGTTTAGGAAGAAATCATCTTTCCTTTTGTGGAATAGTTTAGAAGTTGTTTTTTGTTTGTTTGTTTGTTTGTTTGTTTGTTTTTCAATTCATGACCCTATCAGTTAGGTTGGTTTTAGACTGAATAATGGAGAAAGCTCTTGCCCTAGTCTGCTTATTGTGGAGGCATTCATAGCAAAACTGAATTTGGTGTGTATTTCCACAGAAATGCTTTGATTCTCTAAATTCATTAGTTTTAAAAATATGTTAAGAAACCACTACACAAATGGTTAACTCAAGAACTATGGAAAAGCCAAGAGTGAAATTTTTAACCAGGGAATCCATTGTTTGCTTCACCAAATCACTCCATTTCTCAGACCCCCAGTTTTTCATTTTCTTTTTTTTTTTTTTTTTT